TCAATAATGACATCAATTAGTTAAAGCAGCTAACCTGTGCAATAATTCGATTTTTCTTACCACGATGCATAATGAGTTGAAAGTGGAACTAAACTAGCATAATGAATTGGGTAATAGATCATTGGATGCACCTTGTTAATCACAGTTGGCCATAGAAAAGGTAACAAGAGTTCTTGATCAAAACTGACTGCTGACCCTTTCAACAACTTCAACGATGTCACTTCAGTGCAATCGCCAGAAAACGCCTTAAAGGAAAAAAAGTTTTTAATTAAACGTTCAAAGAACCTTGATGCAGAATGAAGCTGTTTTCGGTTTCTTGCCTTTTGAAATAATCTCATGACGCACTTCAGAAATCAATTGAAGCAGCCGATAGAAGTCGAATCTGAACTCACCAACTGTAAAGTGATGAAGTTGGAAATGCTTCCTACTCTTAGAGTATGTCCAGTGAAATGACGAGCATTGAAAATTTCCTCACTTTCGTCATCATCTTCAAAGATTGGCGGCGTATCTCGAGCTCCGTACACGGCAATTGAGGCCTAATTGGAAGTTTAAAAGCGATATTCCGACATTGACATCTTCATTGTTAACTTTGAGAATATTGTATTTATTACTTACCTTTATGAATCCAATATCTTCATCTCTTTCTGCTCGCCTTCCATCTTTTGGCGGTGGAGCAAGTGAAATCCATTTATTGAGTACAACACCGCCCGGCTGATGCATTATCTGAATCAATCATCAAATGTTTTCTACAAAATTTTCACCATTGCGAGTGGACATTCAAATTGGCCAAGAAGTTTGTCGTTGAGCACTCGACGAACGGCGTAAGCCCTAAGAATCATTAGATCACGGAGGTGAAACACAAAGTTTGCTTGAATAAGAAAACATTTTGTTCGCGGCTTTTTCAAGTGATTTTTCAATGTCAAAGTTGAGATTTTGTTGCCATTTGGGGCTGAAGTTCAGTTGTGACACGTGTAGGCTAAACATGGTGTGATATACTAACTAAACAATTATTAAAATAACAGCTTTGTTCACCCATCAGGTCCACACGGGCTTACGTAGATTGCCGCTGTCCCGAAGATTTCGTGATTCGATGACTCTAACGGTCATCTAAAAACATGTTGTGAACACTGCTTTATAAACTTACAAAAACGTTTTGTTTCACATCCGTGTGTTCAAACTTTCGGCTGACCAGGCGCCCCTCCAAGCTCTGTGTCGTCATTTTCTGTGTCTTCAGAGCTCTTTACCACTAGTTTCCCCTTCGGTCTCGGTTGATTGACCCTAATTTGAAAGTGATTTGAGAATATAGCCTGTGAAGGGTTTTGTATCAAAATTAATGATAGATCTTAATCGATTTGTCTGAGCACCGTGAATAGTCTTGAAAATCTACTTCTTTTTGTAGTGTTGCTGGGCGTTGGAGGAGTCGCTCGTCTCATTTTCGGAGTCCACATCCTCATCGTTTGATTCCCTGAAGCAAGACATATTCAATGGACTTTTTCCCTTAGCTGTTAATAAATATGTCATAACTAATAGTGCTTCAGCATTCATACATGTGTTTTAAACCAATTCAAAGAAGACTTCTAACTTTTAAAATGCTAAAATAAAAGCTAACCGTTTTGCTTTCTTCTGAGCTTCTTTCCGTTTAGCACGTTGCGTTTTCTTCTTCAGACCGGATCTGCGCATCAACCTCGAAAATTTCGAACCCTTTGACCTGTCAGACTAAAATAGTGCTTATAAATTCCATACATCTTATCTCAATTTAGTCAAGTTACCCATAAATTTTTCTTAAGAAATGCCTTACCCCATTATCGTCTTGTTTTCCCATCAACTCGTCGTCTTCCACATCACAGTTGTTTTGTCGGCGCCGTCCGAACTTGAGTTTCTCCATTTTTCTAAAAGAAAAAATTATACTCAGAGCAAAATATCGGTAAAACGAAGCAAAAGAAAAGAATGTGTCGTGTAAATGGTTCAAGCACAAAAGTTGTTTTTGTTTTACGGTTGAATTAAGCTATAAACAAGATACTGCCAAAGGGCGGTTAAAAAAGGAGATACTAAAATTTGGGCGCAAGACAATTGCTTTCACTTCGACTGAAAAATGAAACGGAAAAACCATGCGCCTACCAGAGTCTGGTAACCAGACGCAACTTCAACCATTTCTCGACAAAATTTAGCTTTGCATTTCTGAGGTTTTTAAATTTGCACTTATCCCTCAAATAAAGCAAAGCCTCACACTCGATAGAAATCATATTTTCTATTTCTTCACTTCAATTACCTTCTCGTGACGTGTTATTTCATCTCGAACGGATAAATTCAACACTGGACAGGTTTGCTTTGCTATTTATTCATTTTTAAGACCTTTAATCCTTTAACGAGCTTTTTGTTTTAACCATTTTTGGCTGAATCGAACTTTCATGTTTTAGACAGATCGATGTCGGAATTCTACTGGAAGTTCCTTCATAAACACCTCGCGCCAAAGTATTCAACCGGAGATAAACGGGCTTGTTATTTGCTTCTTTTGAAATAGAAAAAGTTTTAATGTGATCACTAAAATTAGCATTTACTTGTTCTTTTTACAGATTGGCTACACACTGTCTGAAGTGGCACAAGTATTGGGAGCGGCGAAAGAGGCGTTGAAAAAGGACAACTCACTCATCGAAATGAACCCGCCAATTGTGATTGTCGGTGACATTCATGGACAGGTTATCATTTTTTTTATTGCGTTTATCGTTTTTTTGAAATTGTAGTACTACGACCTGCTGCGAATGTTCAGCTTATTCAACGACAAAGACCGTAATGAACCCGTTAGTGGAACACTCACACAGAAGTAACGTTTCCTGTGTTTTTGTATAATTTTATACTTACAGGTATCTTTTCTTGGGCGACTATGTTGACCGTGGCTCGCGTTCTCTTGAATGTATCATGCTTGTCTTTGTATTGAAGATCCTTTTCCCGAAAAAGGTTTGTGTTTTTATGAAGAACTTTATGAAAAATGAAGAATTGTTTTTTTAGTATGGCTTAGTTCGAGGAAATCACGAGTGTCGACCAATCAATCGAGTCTACGGTTTCTTCGATGAGCTCCAAGATAGGTTTGGGGTTGGTCCTATAGTCTTTGTTAACTTTATACCTTACAATCAGTTAAATTATTTTTTAGAATGAAGAAGCTGAGGCGCTGTGGCAAACATTCAACGAGACCTTTGCTTTATTGCCACTGGCGGGACTAGTTGGAAAGAAGATCTTCTGCATGCACGGGGAATTGGTCAGTGATCGGTTGTGAGTTAAACATACCTTTTGTTTAGGCCCTAACATTCACACCTTCGACGATATCCGTCAAATTCAACGTCCACTCGATGATATTAGCACTTCTCCATTGGCAATGGATCTCTTGTGGGCTGATCCAATGATTGATTTGATCGGGTAAACCACTTTTACTGCATAGCATGGTGTTAGATTAACCGTTTACTTACTTCTTATAGAATATTTCACAGAGTATCTTTAGATTCATGCCGAATCAGGTGCGAGGAGTGTCCGTGTATTTTGGCGAAAGCGAAGTGGTGAAATTGTGCAAATCTCTCAACATCGACCTTATCGTTCGGGCACACCAGGCATACAAATTTGTTGCGTTTTAAATAATTCTGATTTAGATGATGCAAAATGGTTATGGGTTCTTTTGTGGAAGGAAATTAATGACGATATTTACTGCGCCTCGATATTTCCCGGAGAGGGTAAAAACATTGTTTTAGTGTCTGGATAAATTATTTTTTAGAACAACAAGGCCGCCGTGTTGGTTGTGGATGAAAATGGGAAATGCTCGATTAAAGTCTTGCTGCCCTGCGATGAGATCAACACCGGTTAGTGAATAATGGTTTTGATCCTTACGAAATTTGTTACGTTCTCTATTCTTTTTTGCAGGAGAGAAAGCCTTCCGAAAGGAATTTGACTTGTCTTACATGGACAGTTCGAGTTATCAATTCTACAAGACCAATGGAAAGCTTCCAAAGGGACGACGAAAGGTTGTTTTTGTTTATCCAATAAAGAACTACCGGTTTTCCTTGCATTTTAAGGTGTTCGTTTTTAGGGTTGAATTTGGACAACACTGCACAACGGCAACCTACAGGAAATTTTTTAAATCCCCACTCAATGTGTTCGTTCTCTTGCAATAAATATTGGGCCGTAGTTGTTTTGAATGGTGATTTTTTTCAAAAGCAATTTATGAAGTAAGATCAGGAGAAAAACCAAGAAAACCAAACCGATTTTCAAGTCGTTTTGCTTCTGTTTGTAGGTGTTTCAAGAGTCTAGGATGTAAAATACTCGAGTTTATTAAAAACATAATGCTCCTAGAGATCACGGATGGCAAAATATAAATACCAGAGAAAAACACTAATGAGCTTAAATACAAAACCTTTTCACTTTCTCGAAATTTCGTTTTCCATTCAGATACGACATTCCCGCTCCGTAGTCGTCTCGGATAACTTTTAGGACCTTGGAAAAAAAGATAAATGTAACAAGGCTAAGAAGACTCACAATTTCTGCATCATCAGCCCGGAAAATGAACGAGAATTCGTTAGTCATCTTGGATGAAGAGAAAAAGAGAGGAGTGAAACGCCATGTATTCGTCTCCAAACGCCCCGAAAGCAGCGACCAAAAAAACTAAAGGTGAGTTAATTGTTAAACTGTTGGCAACGAGGACACAGAACTGGACACAGAAATAATTTGCGAAATGAACTCTGTAATGCGTCATTTAGAAGTTTTATCAAATTCAGTAATCAAATCACAACAATGGCACAGATTCAAAAAGATTCGTAAGATTTTAGACTTAGGAAATAAACTAAGTTCAAGTTATAAGTTCAAATCCGAATCTCTTAGAGTTTAAATAAATGGTCATTTCTCAGCTCAGCAGCTCTTTAATGGGCCAAGATTTCAAAATTTCTACATCAAGAAACTCGCGAGCCGGCGCATCACGTAACCGTAATCGATCGTCATACTGGTTGTGATCGGAGAAAAAGCGGTCGTCCCAACTGGGGTACAAGCCGTCGTAGTAGTCGTCGTCCATCATCTCAAAACTGAAAGCAGATTAGCTAATCGCTTTTTGGAGAAGGTTGTCGTATTACATTGAACGACAAGAATAATGTTTTCTAACTCAATCTAAAAAAATTACCAAAAGTCCTTCGTCTTCGTGATTTCCTCGATCCATAGCTCGAGCTTCTTGCCCAGGGAATTCGTAATAACTGTATGATACTCGAAATCATCGCCGTAGTCCGACGTTGGAATTTTGACATTCCAAGACAACATCGCAAAGAACTAAACACGAACATCTCGAAAATTAATTCTTTCACTCACCGCTCTGATGTTCAGATCAGATTGAACCCATAGTCGTATCTTTGTCACTTCTCGGGTTCCGGCTTTCCATTCGTTGAGAAATGAGGCGATTCCGTTAAATGTACAAGCAGTGCGACCAAGCATGTAATTCAGAGAGGCAAAATTCAAGAGCACCTAGAAGCAGAGCAACAATTTGATAAACCATTGCTGTTGTTAGCCAATCTCCAGTGTTAATAAAAGATGAGTTTCATTTGCTTAGTAGGAATATTTAATTATTTTAACCTGATCATCAAAGGACACATTTTTCGCCGAAATACACAGCTCCTGACGATCTCGAATGCATTTATCTTGCCAGAATGACGATGTCAATGGGGTATTTTCACCACGAAGCTAAGTTGAGATTGATTAGTTGAGAAATAAAAATACTAAACCATGAAAGAAAAGTTCTCTGGTTCAAGCTGAAGTAGCATAGATCGTAGATCCTTCCACTGGAACTTTTGTCCCTCCGTCACCACCAAAAGATTCTTGCATTTCACGTTGAAGTCCTCAAACCTCTTCAGCAATTGATGAAACGTGGTGTCGTCGAAATACTCAAGCTCCTAAAAGTTCTCACTACATTTGTCTGTACTTTGTCGTTAATGTTTTGTGTTGAGCATGGCTTAATGATGGCGCAGTGCGTAAACTTTGAAAGCCGTACCAAATGGAGACTTTCAACCTGCATTCGTGGAAACATGTGATCGAATCTCTTGAGTGCTTTCTTCAATGGAGCAGCTCCATACCTTCGCCAGCATGGCTTGCGGTCTTTGAAGAAAATCGTGATGAAGACAGTTGGCTCAACCTAAAACGCTAGTTAAAAGTCTTCCTCAAAACTACCTCGTTATGATCACTAGCAGGAAGTTCATGGTCGACCTTCTTCTGGTCAATCGTCAGAGAATCAACTTGTACGGTGGGCAGCGATTTCCGATTCATATCAATACGTCCATGAAAAAGCCGCGAAATTCCCCGACATCTAAGCACTATTATTGAAACTTTATAAAACAAAAAAAAGCTACTTTTCAATTTGTAGTCCTGGCAAGTAATCTAGTACCCGAAGAAGGGGAACATCCGGAAGAACAGAAAAATCGAGGTGAGTTTCCTAAGATATAAAAGTTGTGATAAAGCGCAAAAAAAATTGGCATCTCACCGAACTACTAGTTTCTTGGCCTTCCATGCGAACAATCCGCCAGTAACAGCAACGTTGTAGATAGTTGACTATCTGAAAAAAGAAATAAAACGAGAAAAACCATAAGAAACACGAAACTCATGCTTTAGAAAAGTGATTATAAAGTTTTTCTAGGAAAAGTTAACTATCTGAACAAAGAATCAAAACCATAAAAACCATAAGAACTACGGTTTGTTTCATTAGAAAGGTCAATTATTTTTCTGCAAAATAACATTAAAACCGGTTTCAAATGTCTTATTTCTGGATTTTTTTCGGAGCGTGAAGTCGGGTAATCAAAAATGGCGATGGCTTCATAATGCGGTTTAGACACTTTAACTAAGGAAACATATCTTGGTGTCAATAGATAAAAGATAGAGCACAAAAAGTTTGGTATATAGCCAAATTCTCAGAGAAATCCATAGGTTAATTGATGAATTTGTTATTTTTCAACGAAAATGTGTAAAAGCAATGAAAAGATTTTCTGGACGGCCTATTACATAGTGCCCCTTGGTCTTGGTCAATCTCTGCCTATAATGCGGATATTTTACGGAAAAGTACAGTACCGAGCAAAAGTCTTGCAACATCACTTTTTCAAAAAAATCGATGAAATTTTTTTATAGAAAATGCCACCCGTTCGTAGGGCTTTTTTGTTTTTAATTAGAATAATATATGTACACTTTATTTACAAAAACAAATTTGAAGTTCAGCGTAAAACAAAAAAGTAAATGACAAAACTACTAAAAAATACCCTAAAAACTGGGTGCAAAAGTCTTGCAACATTATACAGAAACATCAAAAATTAATATTCAATCGGTCCACCTTTTGCCAAAATCACTTCATTAAGTCGTTTAGGCATTGAGTCGACTAATTCGTGAAGAATTGCTGGGCGAATTGAGCTCCAAACTTTTCGTATGTAGAACCATACGTCAACTTTTGTGTGAAAGTCTTTTCCTCGTAACTTTGTCTTCACGTAAGCCCATAAATTCTCAATAACGTTTAAATCAGGCGACATAGGGGGCACCTTGACCAACAAAACATTATTAAGGGCAAACCATCCAGGGAAGTGAGCTTTTCCTCCATTTGAGAGACTCACCATGGGACCTCCCATCACGGGCTTGCTCTTGTGAACCGGCGAATTGTCCTGGTAGAGAGACCATCCAGGAGCCATGTAATCCTGAGCAAATGGAAGTAGACATCCTTCTAGTATTTCTATAGACTGGAGAGCATTGATGGTTGACTGGACGAGGACGAACGGACCTGCCACATTTTTTGTCATCGCCCCTAGAAAAAGACAAATTAATGCATGTATTAGAAATAAGGCTTACCAAAACACATGATTGATCCTCCACCAGCTCGCATTGTAGGTCGCACATATTTAAGGAGTATTCGCTTTCCAATGGGTCATCTGATCAAGTGGTTGTCTTTTGGAGAAAAGATATCCACTTTTGTTTCATCGACAAAAATCACGTTGGCCTAATCCTGCTTTGTCCAACTTTGGTACGTCCTGGCGAATAGAAGCCGTTGTTTCCTGTGGCCAGCGGTCATCAAAGGCTTTCGTACAGCTCTCCGGCTATACAGTCCTGCTTGAGTCAATCGTCGAGAAACGGTCCATCGAGAGATATCCTTGTTTGCAACATTCTTGATCAGCTGAGCTCCCTCAGTTGATGTCATGTTCGGATCCTTCTTGGAAACCATCACGAGTTCGATCCTCTTTTGCTGTTGTTCTTCATGGCCGTCCTTTCTTCTCTCTTCGGTGCATAAGTCCAGTTGTTTTTGCTTTTGAAACAATGCGAGAAACGGTCGATGGATCGCATTTGAAGAGATCAGAGACAACGGCTCGAGAAATTCCTTTTTTTTCTTGCTTTCATGATTTTTTCTCTTTCGGGAGTCGTCAAGTAGGTACCTGGCATCTGAAAAAAACAAAAATTAGTGTAAATTAATAAATTTAAAAACAATAGAAATGAGAAACATAGAATGTTGCAAGACTTTTGCACCCAGTTTTTAGGGTATTTTTTAGTAGTTTTGTCATTTACTTTTTTGTTTTACGCTGAACTTCAAATTTGTTTTTGTAAATAAAGTGTACATATATTATTCTAATTAAAAACAAAAAAGCCCTACGAACGGGTGGCATTTTCTATAAAAAAATTTCATCGATTTTTTTGAAAAAGTGATGTTGCAAGACTTTTGCTCGGTACTGTATAGAAGGCCCCATCAGAATATATTTTGGGATTTAATTGGTCTTGGATTTTAGTTTTGCTTCCTTTTCATGGCTAAATTTGCCATTATTTCTCAGTGTTTTTGTATTTTTGAATAGGCTGTATGAAGATTGAATGAAAATCAAGGAGGAGAGATTATTTCAACCAATGAATGACCGAAACAGACAGCTCCAAAATTATGCTGTGATTTTTCAATGCCGGAATACCCCCTTTAATATTTATAGTTGTTATATTACTTTGATGTTTTTTTTCTGACTTTATAAGCGTTCCAATTACAAACCAAATAAGAATTTCCTAGAAAAACTTTATAATCACTTTTCTAAAGCATGAGTTTCGTGTTTCTTATGGTTTTTCTCGTTTTATTTCTTTTTTCAGATAGTCAACTATCTACAACGTTGCTGTTACTGGCGGATTGTTCGCATGGAAGGCCAAGAAACTAGTAGTTCGGTGAGATGCCAATTTTTTTTGCTCTTTATCACAACTTTTATATCTTAGGAAACTCACCTCGATTTTTCTGTTCTTCCGGATGTTCCCCTTCTTCGGGTACTAGATTACTTGCCAGGACTACAAATTGAAAAGTAGCTTTTTTTTGTTTTATAAAGTTTCAATAATAGTGCTTAGATGTCGGGGAATTTCGCGGCTTTTTCATGGACGTATTGATATGAATCGGAAATCGCTGCCCACCGTACAAGTTGATTCTCTGACGATTGACCAGAAGAAGGTCGACCATGAACTTCCTGCTAGTGATCATAACGAGGTAGTTTTGAGGAAGACTTTTAACTAGCGTTTTAGGTTGAGCCAACTGTCTTCATCACGATTTTCTTCAAAGACCGCAAGCCATGCTGGCGAAGGTATGGAGCTGCTCCATTGAAGAAAGCACTCAAGAGATTCGATCACATGTTTCCACGAATGCAGGTTGAAAGTCTCCATTTGGTACGGCTTTCAAAGTTTACGCACTGCGCCATCATTAAGCCATGCTCAACACAAAACATTAACGACAAAGTACAGACAAATGTAGTGAGAACTTTTAGGAGCTTGAGTATTTCGACGACACCACGTTTCATCAATTGCTGAAGAGGTTTGAGGACTTCAACGTGAAATGCAAGAATCTTTTGGTGGTGACGGAGGGACAAAAGTTCCAGTGGAAGGATCTACGATCTATGCTACTTCAGCTTGAACCAGAGAACTTTTCTTTCACGGTTTAGTATCTTTATTTCTCAACTAATCAATTTAGTTTCGTGGTGAAAATACCCCATTGACATCCTCATTCTGGCAAGATAAATGCATTCGAGATTGTCGGGAGCTGTGTATTTCGGCGAAAAATGTGTCCTTTGATGATCAGGTTAAAATAATTAAATATGCCTACTAAGCAAATGATATTCATCTTTTATTAACACTGGAGATTGGCTAACAACAGCAATGGTTTATCAAATTGTTGCTCTGCTTCTAGGTGCTCTTGAATTTTGCCTCTCTGAATTACATGCTTGGTCGCACTGCTTGTACATTTAACGGAATCGCCTCATTTCTCAACGAATGGAAAGCCGGAACCCGAGAAGTGACAAAGATACGACTATGGGTTCAATCTGATCTGAACATCAGAGCGGTGAGTGAAAGAATTAATTTTCGAGATGTTCGTGTTTAGTTCTTTGCGATGTTGTCTTGGAATGTCAAAATTCCAACGTCGGACTACGGCGATGATTTCGAGTATCATACAGTTATTACGAATTCCCTGGGCAAGAAGCTCGAGCTATGGATCGAGGAAATCACGAAGACGAAGGACTTTTGGTAATTTTTTTAGATTGAGTTAGAAAACATTATTCTTGTCGTTCAATGTAATACGACAACCTTCTCCAAAAAGCGATTAGCTAATCTGCTTTCAGTTTTGAGATGATGGACGACGACTACGACGAGGACTTGTACCCCAGTTGGGAGCCGAGTTGGAATCCCGATAAGTACCAGTATGACGATCGATTACGGTTACGTGATGCGCCGGCTCGCGAGTTTCTTGATGTAGAAATTTTGAAATCTTGGCCCATTAAAGAGCTGCTGAGCTGAGAAATGACCATTTATTTAAACTCTAAGAGATTCGGATTTGAACTTATAACTTGAACTTAGTTTATTTCCTAAGTCCTAAAATCTTACGAATCTTTTTGAAACTGTGCCATTGTTGTGATTTGATTACTGAATTTGATAAAACTTCTAAACGACGCATTACAGAGTTTATTTCGCAAATTATTTCTGTGTCCAGTTCTGTGTCCTCGTTGCCAACCCGCGAGTTATGGAGATCTGAAAGAAATTAGGAAATAAACAGTTGAACAATTAACTCACCTTTAGTTTTTTTGGTCGCTGTTTTCGGGGCGTTTGGAGACGAATACATGGCGTTTCACTCCTCTCTTTTTCTCCTCATCCAAGATGACTAACGAATTCTCGTTCACTTTCCGGGCTGACGATGCAGAAATTGTGAGTCTTCGTAATCTTTTTTTCCAAACGCGGTTTTATTTCTAGGTCCCAAAAGTTATCCCAGACGATTACGGAGCGGGAATGTTGTATCTGAAGGGAAAACGAAATTTCGAGAAAGTGAAAAGGTTTTGTATTTAAGCTCATTAGTGTTTTTCTGTCTAGTATTTATATTTTGTCATCTGTGATCTCTAGGAGCATTATGTTTTTAATAAACTCGAGTATTTTACAGTCTTGAAACAAGACTCTTGAAACACCTACAAACATAAACAAAACGACTTGAAAATCGGTTTGGTTTTTTTTGTTTTTTCTCTTTGTTCTTGCTTCATAAATTGCTTTTGAGAACTGAAATCACAATTCAAAACAACTACGGCCCAATATTTATTGCAAGAGAACGAACACATTGAGTGGGGATTTAAAAAATTTCCTGTAGGTTGCCGTTGTGCAGTGTTGTCCAAATTCAACCCTAAAAACGAACACCTTAAAATGCAAGGAAAACCGGTAGTTCTTTATTGGATAAACAAAAACAACCTTTCGTCGTCCCTTTGGAAGCTTTCCATTGGTCTTGTAGAATTGATAACTCGAACTGTCCATGTAAGACAAGTCAAATTCCTTTCGGAAGGCTTTCTCTCCTGCAAAAAAGAATAGAGAACGTAACAAATTTCGTAAGGATCAAAACCATTATTCACTAACCGGTGTTGATCTCATCGCAGGGCAGCAAGACTTTAATCGAGCATTTCCCATTTTCATCCACAACCAACACGGCGGCCTTGTTGTTCTAAAAAATAATTTATCCAGACACTAAAACAATGTTTTTACCCTCTCCGGGAAATATCGAGGCGCAGTAAATATCGTCATTAATTTCCTTCCACAAAAGAACCCATAACCATTTTGCATCATCTAAATCAGAATTATTTAAAAAACGCAACAAATTTGTATGCCTGGTGTGCCCGAACGATAAGGTCGATGTTGAGAGATTTGCACAATTTCACCACTTCGCTTTCGCCAAAATACACGGACACTCCTCGCACTTGATTCGGCATGAATCTAAAGATACTCTGAAATATTCTATAAGAAGTAAGTGAACGGTTAATCTAACACCGTGCTATGCAGTAAAAGTGGTTTACCCGATCAAATCAATCATTGGATCAGCCCACAAGAGATCCATTGCCAATGGAGAAGTGCTAATATCATCGAGTGGACGTTGAATTTGACGGATATCGTCGAAGGTGTGAATGTTAGGGCCTAAACAAAAAGTTTCTTTTTTTCCAAACGCGGTTTTATTTCTAGGTCCCAAAAGTTATCCCAGACGATTACGGAGCGGGAATGTTGTATCTGAATGGAAAACGAAATTTCGAGAAAGTGAAAAGGTTTTGTATTTAAGCTCATTAGTGTTTTTCTGTCTAGTATTTATATTTTGTCATCTGTGATCTCTAGGAGCATTATGTTTTTAATAAACTCGAGTATTTTACAGCCTAGACTCTTGAAACACCTACAAACATAAACAAAACGACTTGAAAATCGGTTTGGTTTTTTGATTTTTCTCCTGATCTTGCTTCATAAATTGCTTTTGAGAACTGAAATCACAATTCAAAACAACTACGGCCCAATATTTATTGCAAGAGAACGAATACATTGAGTGGGGATTTTAAAAATTTCCTGTAGGTTGCCGTTGCGCACTGTTGTATTGGTAGAGAGGTCTAAAAGAAATTAGGAAATACAGTTTAAAAATTAACTCACTTAGTTTTTTTTAGTCGCTGCTTTGTGGATGGATTTCCTGAGGTCTGGGACTTTTGCCCAGCGTGAAATTCCTTGCTTCTTTGGATCGCTTGGGATAGTTCTCTCGTCGTGGCTGATCTCTTTTGGGTGCTTGCAATATCTGTAAATAATAAGTCAAATAAATCTAATAAAAAGTTGCGAATGAATGAACGAAATCCACTATGAGAGAAATAGGTCTTATTGAACTGTCTCATCATTTCTTACATTACTTTCTTTATGGCGTTCAACTATTTTAAGCTTTGCCATTATTTTATTACTAAATTAGCACAAGTCAAAGGGTGTTTTTCCTAATTTTCCCCTTTCTATAGTTTTTTTGCCTCCCAACAGTCGGACTCCGTTACCCCAATCAAACTGTATTTTTCAAGAAAGTTAAAATCAAGAAACCAAGTCTCACTTCGTACGCTCATCGTCGCGTTCCATCATCGTTCCTTCCAATTCTACACCATGTTTCATTGTAAAGCGCGCCATTGCATCGGCCTTAAAAACATAATCCAGCTACACATTAAACCCATTAAATCCTAACTGTCTCGTTGCCCGGATCGCCATTGTGACCGTACACGTGTTGGAAGAGTATTGGCCTTTGAAACTTTGATGCAACATCCATGAGTAGGAGAATTCTGAAAAAAGATCAAATTTGACGATTATTAATATTCCAAACTCTTCGCGAATTTGCCCAAAACGTGCTCCTTTCAATTTCAAGTTCAATCCTCGGATCATATTCAGGCTATCAGACCTAATGATCACTTCTTCGGGTCTAGAAGAAGGAAATGTTAAAAATGCAACAAGCTTAATTTATCCGGATAAGGCTCGATAGTTCTGCAATCCGGTTTTAAAGCCTATTTTCAGTAGTTGTCAAATCCACAATTTATTTAACTTCAGATCAAATGGTCCTTACCTGTATTTCCAATTGAATAGTCTCTCAAGAGCCGTCTTTGTTGCTAAGATTTCCAAATAGGTTGCACGGGCGTCCTTATCCATGTTGCTGAGCTTCTTTTTGGTTTCAACGTTCAGAAGAATTGAACTAAACGAGAGTGATCAAGTCAAATAACATGAAACGCACAAGTTTAACGGGTGTTCTTCGCCGAAAAACCCCGCACATGCAGCTGTATCGATGCCGTTCACACTTTTAGGATTATAGCTTGCATCAACGTAACACTAAAATCAACTATATATAAAAGGCAATTGATTGTGGCGTGTGTCACGCTTTTCAGATAACAGGGAACCCAAACTTCAGAGAACTCTAGCTCTATGTAGATCAAAATACACCACACACCACGATCGTATTAGGCGAGAAGGATTCGTTGAAAGCTACCGTGACTCCGTCCGTTCCATGGTCTTTCGGAAAACCTAAACGAAAACAATGTAGTATTCATTAGACATGGGCAGATTCCGACCGATTCCGTCCCGAACCTACTTCCACCTTCGTTTTCTTGGCCGTTCTTTGACCGATTAATCTGAAATCTTCTCTACAGGTAGAGCTCGGCATTAACTGCTCGTAGACAAAATTTCAGACCAATCGATCAAGGAGCAACCAAGAAAACGAAGGTGGAATTAGGTTCGGGACGGAATTTGCCCATGTCTAGTATTCATGAAAAAGCGAATGTGCTAGATCGGATGCGTTTGTCTTATAAAAGAAAGAAGAAGCATCAAACCAACCATATTGCTGAGCATCATAGGAGAAAACATTTTCACCTGTCGTCTTGTCATCAGCTCCGGCCGCGAGTCCTGGGAATAAAAAAAAGGTAATTTGGCAAAAAAAAACAAACTTTCAGCCGCGGAGTCGCCCCAGCAAAACGAGCGAAATAGGGAATATAACCCGCTCAAACAGCCAAACATGAATCGAATTTCGAAGTTGAATGAATTGATTTTGATTCATCTGACTCATCATCACTTCTGCATGTAAATTACCGGCTAAATGCTAATTTTGAGTAGGTCTTAAAGGTCATGTATTTCTCTTTGCTGTTAAAAATATAGATTCCTATTATTTTATTGCATGCAATCATTGAAGCAAAAAGGGTATAGTGATGAAGGCGCTAAAAATGCATTTTACAAATCGAACTTTAATGTTTCACCTCAAAACCAGAAAGTATTGTGATCCATTATATGATAGTTCGGTTCTTTCCGTTTTTATTTTCAGAATGCT